CCATTTACCAGTGGTTTTGGCACTGTGAGCAGGTGCCAGGTCGTGCTGAAAAATGAAATCATCTCCATAAAGCTTTTCAGCAGATGGAAGCATGAAGTGCTCCAAAATCTCCTGATAGCTAGCTGCATTCACCCTGCCCTTGATAAAACACAGTGGACCAACACCAGCAGCTGACATGGCACCCCAGACCATCACTGACTGTGGGTACTTGACACTGGACTTCAGGCATTTTGGCATTTCCTTCTCCCCAGTCTTCCTCCAGACTCTGACACCTTGATTTCCGAATGACATGCAAAACTGAGCAACAGTCCAGTGCTGCTTCTCTGCAGGTCAGGCGCTTCTGCCGCTGTTTCTGGTTCAAAAGTGGCTTGACCTGGGGAATGCAGCACCTGTAGCCCATTTCCTGCACACGCCTGTGCACGGTGGCTCTGGATGTTTCTACTCCAGACTCAGTCCACTGCTTCCGCAGGTCCCCCAAGGTCTGGAATCGGTCCTTCTCCACAATCTTCCTCAGGGTCCGGTCACCTCTTCTCGTTGTGCAGCGTTTTTTGCCACACTTTTTCCTTCCCACAGACTTCCCACTGAGGTGCCTTGATACAGCACTCTGGGAACAGCCTATTTTTTCAGAAATTTCTTTCTGTCTTACCCTCTTGCTTGAGGGTGTCAATGATGGCCTTCTGGACAGCAGTCAGGTCGGCAGTCTTACCCATGATTGCGGTTTTGAGTAATGAAACAGGCTGGGTGTTTTTAAAAGCCTCAGGAATCTTTTGCAGGTGTTTAGAGTTAATTAGTTGATTCAGATGATTAGGTTAATAGCTTGTTTAGAGACCCTTTTCATGATATGCTAATTTTTTTAGACAGGAATTTTGGGTTTTCATGAGCTGTATGCCAAAATCATCAGTATTAAAACAATAAAAGACCTGAAATATTTCAGTTGGTGTGCAATGAATCTAAAATATATGAAAGTTTAATTTTTATCATTACATTATGGAAAATAATGAACTTTATCACAATATGCAAATTTTTTGAGAAGGACCTGTATATATGTGTTATATAGGGATACCACCATTCACACTTTTGGAATAAGTAGGGCTACAGGTTTATTTTTCACTTCATCATATTTTGGAGCTAGAGTTAAACCAGTCTTGCAAAATGTATTTTCTTATGCTGTCCCTCCCTATTTTGCTGGGTTCTGTTGCAGACAGTCATAACCTGTTAAAATTGTTCTGACCTGCATAAATAGGGAATGCCAGCATGAATAACTCTTCAGGGACGCTCTACACAGTGGAAAGGAGATGGCAGAGATGAATATGACCTGTGCACGATATTTATAAGACATTTCAAACACATAATTCTCTTTCTCTTATTCTTCCAGTTCTTCAATAATCAGTCTGCTCTCCTCTCCCCGCTCCTTCCTCTTTTTGTCCACTCAGCTCTCTGCGCTGAGAGCGAATAAATCAGTGTTTCCCATTTGGCTGCAGTCCAGAAGTGATAAATGCTCACAGAATAAAAATTCAGCAGAAACAGTTGGACCGTAATACATCCTCTCTCTCTCTCTCTCTTGCTTTCAGTCTCTCTCACTCTCTCTCAGTCCCTTAATATTGATCTACATGCATGATCAATGCAACTGATGATCTCAGTGGGCGTTTCTGTTCATTGCTTGATATAATGACCCGCTATACCTCCTTTGTCAAACTCAGACGTATATCTGTGTGATGAAAGAAATGAAGAAAAGTGGATGGTTGTTCATTTTTAAACAAAGAAAAAAAGGACGAAATCACATTGTTGTGAAGCATGTCCTCCTGAACTGCTCCTGTCCACTTTGATGACATACACTCTTAAAAATAAAGGTTCTTTATTGGCATTTTTTTGGCTCCATGAAGAAATTTTGACATCCATGGAGCCTTTCAAATGCACAAAAGGTTCTTTAGATTTTTAACATGTTATTAATGTGTCATTTTTGGCTCTCTAGCGGTAAAAAAAAAAGGAAACTGCATGCGTTCTGCGGAAGAACATTGTTTGGGTTGTGCTTCGTCTCTGCATGCATGACTGTGCAGAAATTGACCCTTCACAATAGGATAATGCTTTACAATAAACGAAAATGAAAAAGAGAGCTATACATATGGCATAACCCCCCTTTTTAAAACCTTTATTGTTAAAAGTGTACTAAAGAATGATACTTTTCAGTTTGGTAAACATACCGTCACCTCTCAGCAGAGAGAACACCGGAATACCAAACCTTTTCATGGGTCAGTTGCATCAGCCCAGTTTTTAAAACACTACAGCAACAGGGAGGTGTTATGACTGTAGGGAGAACCTTTGCGCACTGCAGTGTTGTTGAGCGAGGGTGTGTTTTAATCATACAGAGTCATGTGGTGTGTCTTCTGCTTTAAGGTGTCCCCAAGGTCTTACTGGATATTGATTCTTTCTGGTGTCAGACAGCTTTTTGCACATCTTGAAAAATCACTCTAAGTGAAAAAAAAAGTCCTTAAAGGGGTATTATGCCCTTTTACGAAGTCTTGATTTTGTTTTTGGGGTGTACTAAAATATGGTTTCATGCTTGATTGTTAAAAAAAAACACTTTTTTTTTTTTCTTCATATTTTACATTATTACAGCACCTCTCTCCCCAGTCTGGCTCGAACGCTGATTTCGATGAAGCCCCTTCTTCCGAAATACGAAATGTGTTGTGATTGGTTAGCTGGCCCAGTGTGTTGTGATTAGCAGTTTTCCATGGGGAAAAAAAGTGGAAAAAGTGGAAAAGCATAATAGGACCCCTTTAAATGCAATGTTCTTGTCCCTATAATTACTTGTACTGCAGAATGCTTTGGATCAAAATAACCTGCTAAATGGCACTTCATGCTTCTGGTGTGAATATAAAATACATACCTGTCTTTTTTCTTTCTAGCTATCTTTCTTTCTTTTTTAGCATGGGAAGGGTGACCTCATGCATTCAATTTGTCAATGCAGAGCACTTAATGTGATTGGCAAATTCCTAAAGCTGACATGACAAAATAGAATCTAAAATTTTTTTTTAATGGTTATGTTATTGTGATTATTTTTTATTATTCATATTAAATGAATTGTTTAACAGGTGAACAGGTGTTTGACAACCATAAAGTGTCCTGATAATTCCTGATAAAGTGTAATTTTTAAGAGATTTCAAAAGTTTGGGGTCGGCAAGATTTTTGATGTTTTTGAAAGAAGTTTCTTCTGCTCGCCAAGGCTGCATCTAAAATACAGTAAATTAATTATTACATGTGAAATATTACAATTTAAAATAACTGTTTTCTATTTGAATATATTTTAAAATGTCATTTATTCCTGATGGCAAAGCTGATTTTTCAGCATCATTACTCCAGTCTTCTGTGTCACGTGATCCTTCAGAAATCTATTTTAATGCTGAGATACAGTAACATTTCTTATTATTTTCAATGTTGAAAACAGTTCTGCTGCTTAATATTTTTGTGGGAACCTTGATTCTTTGATGAATAGAATGGTCAAAAGAGCAACATTTATCTTTTGTAACATTAGGCCTATTTTTACTCTCAATTTTGTTCAGTTTAATGCATGCTAAATAGAAGAATTAATTTGATTACAAAAAAATTGTGAATGATTGCGTATGTGTATATTGTTCATTTTAACAGCATGCTTTGATGTTTTCTTACCGAATGCAATCACATTCATTTAACTACTTTAAATGTGACTGAAGTGTCCAAATACATTGCATTTTGAGGCCACTGTCCATCCGAGGTTAATGTGGGTGTGTTGTACCTGTAAAGGGCAAGCCCAGTCTGAACCATATAGATTCTGAATCAGCACTTTCTCTTAAGAGACTTCGACGCCTAAGTCATGAGGGGTGAAGATCCATCCATCTTTCATTATCCAGGTCTGACAGCATCTGTCACACGAAGCTTACAACAGTAGCGGAAGGATCACCTGCTAAGCACTGGCAGAGGCGCGTTTCACACCGGCACCTCCAATTAATTGCTCCTCTCTCCGGCTGGGGACGTGGGATGTTTTGATGGAAAAAGGCTGCTTGTGATGCACAGGGCTTTCACCGTCTTGCTGCAGTTCCCGTGGCTAACACTCTGACAGGCGCTGGGCGAGCAGGAAGAGACGCCTGGAGAATCAGGGATGCTCATAGTGGGTTAATCATACACATCCTCCACAACTGGCCCACGTCAACTTCCAAATCGGCACGATTGCTCGCTCCATCCGCGGACCCTTTGCAGGTATTTACATCGCATTTCTTAAGGCTTTTGGAGGTGCGCGGTCACGTGCAGGCGCTGTCCAGCGACGGTGGTGCTGAAAACGGCTTGTGTAGATACTGACGAGCCTTTGCGGCGGAGGTTCAAGTAAGGTAATGCACCAAGACTACTGAGGTCGAAACGACTGCTCACGCAAAACACTTTGTAGAGATCCTAGCGAGCTTGGGCCGTATGACTACTGTCCTGCACTGGATTAAGGGAGTCATTGGTCGATAAGTCCAAAGTTACCTTCTGGATCTCTGACCCCCGGAAGTTGATAGGTATATTTTTTATCTAAAATACGCACGGTGGTGATAGACAGTGACGCAAATGAATTGAATTAGCTCAGCACTATGGGTTTGCTAGTATGACAGGCTAATTGTCGCTATCAGCATCAGTTGCACGGAGGGATTTGATGATCTGTCACTGTGGAAGATGTGAGTGACATTTGCTCTATTATTTTTAGTCAAAGACCAGCGATGAAAGAAAATACATGTGCAAAACCGGTTTCACATTGCACCTTGTGAGCTGAAGGACAAAACGTTCTGATCAAGTTGTGCATGCTTTATTGAGCTGCAGTCTCGTCAATTTTGCTGTTATTATTGTTGTTGTTTAGTCTACGCGTAAAATGTGTTATTCTGTTTATGTATAAAGGATGTATATTAATATTTTAAGCGTTTCATTTATCGTCGTCATTATTATTATTGAAACCAATGTTTATTTTAATTACAGATCTGGCAGTAAAACGATAGCTCTCACATTTTTGAAAGGACAAGGACAAGGACAAGAACACTTGAAAAGCCATCATGAATTTCCTGATGAAGGCAGCTTTGGGAGGTGAGTGTATATTCCCATTAGAAGATTAAAGTTGCAATGAAAGACTTGAATCAGTGCTCTAGTGCTGCGGCAGCGGTCACGTGCGCGCTCCCTGAAAGTCGTTCGCTATTCAGCTTTACGCACCAGAGAGAAGGTTATGCTACTGTCTGAAGCAACACTAGTCGGCGTTAGGCTTCTCTTGCCGTGTCAGAGACACACTGTATACATTTGCTTGGAGGACACTGTCCCGTACAGCATGCCATTGCGTCTCATCATCATTATTAGGCGCTTTCTACGAATGGGGGTACAAGAAGACCTGAGATGTTTTTTTCTACCTTTCGAAGAAATTGTCTGTGGAAGGAGGTTCTTAACCTTCAGAAAAATAAGAAGTTACACTGAATATTGAGCCGTTTCATTTTCTATTCATTTATTGTCTATATTAATTAAAGATCAAAATTACTTAGACCAATTTTATTAAATTAAAATAAACAATGGCAAAATGGCTAAGGGTTACAAATTTAGTCTAGCTAATTTTGAAACTTATGGGGTTTTTTTCATACATTAAAGGGTTAAAGGGATAGTTAAATAATAATGTCAATAATTACTCGCGCTTATGTCTTTGGATCACAAATGAAGATCTTTTTGATACACTCTGAGAGCTTTCTGTCCCTCCGTTGACAGCTACGCAACTACCACTTTGATGCTTCAAAAAGTTCATAAAGAGATCTTGAAACAAATTCATATGAATTGAGCGGATAGTCCAAATTTTCTGAAGAGACACGATCGTTTTAAATGAACATTCATCAACGCACACATCAGTTGTGGTAAACGTAAGCTCAAGCATCTTCACTTGACATGCAAAAATCCAAATGAGGTTCATTCTCGTGTTACGCAGCACGTTTGAGCTTCAGCAAGAACCAATGAGGTTCATTCTCGTGTTAAGCAGCACGTTTGCGCTTCCTCAAGAACCAATGAGGTTCATTCTCGTGTTACGCAGCACGTTTGAGCTTCCTCAAGAACCAATGAGGTTCATTCTCGTGTTAAGCAGCACGTTTGAGCTTCCTCAAGAACCAATGAGGTTCATTCTCGTGTTACGCAGCACGTTTGAGCTTCCTCAAGAACCAATGAGGTTCATTCTCGTGTTAAGCAGCACGTTTGAGCTTCCTCAAGAACCAATGAGGTTCATTCTCGTGTTAAGCAGCACGTTTGCGCTTCCTCAAGAACCAATGAGGTTCATTCTCGTGTTAAGCAGCACGTTTGAGCTTCCTCAAGAACCAATGAGGTTCATTCTCGTGTTACGCAGCACGTTTGAGCTTCCTCAAGAACCAATGAGGTTCATTCTCGTGTTAAGCAGCACGTTTGAGCTTCCTCAAGAACCAATGAGGTTCATTCTCGTGTTACGCAGCACGTTTGCGCTTCCTCAAGAACCAATGAGGTTCATTCTCGTGTTAAGCAGCACGTTTGAGCTTCCTCAAGAACCAATGAGGTTCATTCTCGTGTTACGCAGCACATTTGAGCTTCCTCAAGAACCAATGAGGTTCATTCTCGTGTTAAGCAGCACGTTTGAGCTTCCTCAAGAACCAATGAGGTTCATTCTCGTGTTAAGCAGCACGTTTGAGCTTCCTCAAGAACCAATGAGGTTCATTCTCGTGTTACGCAGCACATTTGAGCTTCCTCAAGAACCAATGAGGTTCATTCTCGTGTTACGCAGCACATTTGAGCTTCAGCAAGAACCAATGAGGTTCATTCTCGTGTTACGCAGCACGTTTGCGCTTCCTCAAGAACCAATGAGGTTCATTCTCGTGTTACGCAGCACGTTTGAGCTTCCTCAAGAACCAATGAGGTTCATTCTCGTGTTAAGCAGCACGTTTGAGCTTCCTCAAGAACCAATGAGGTTCATTCTCGTGTTACGCAGCACGTTTGAGCTTCCTCAAGAACCAATGAGGTTCATTCTCGTGTTACGCAGCACGTTTGAGCTTCAGCAAGAACCAATGAGGTTCATTCTCGTGTTAAGCAGCACGTTTGAGCTTCCTCAAGAACCAATGAGGTTCATTCTCGTGTTACGCAGCACGTTTGAGCTTCCTCAAGAACCAAGGAGGTTCATTCTCGTGTTACGCAGCACATTTGAGCTTCAGCAAGAACCAATGAGGTTCATTCTCGTGTTACGCAGCACGTTTGCGCTTCCTCAAGAACCAATGAGGTTCATTCTCGTGTTACGCAGCACGTTTGAGCTTCCTCAAGAACCAATGAGGTTCATTCTCGTGTTAAGCAGCACGTTTGAGCTTCCTCAAGAACCAATGAGGTTCATTCTCGTGTTACGCAGCACGTTTGCGCTTCCTCAAGAACCAATGAGGTTCATTCTCGTGTTACGCAGCACGTTTGAGCTTCCTCAAGAACCAATGAGGTTCATTCTCGTGTTACGCAGCACGTTTGCGCTTCCTCAAGAACCAATGAGGTTCATTCTTGTGTTACGCAGCACGTTTGAGCTTCAGCAAGAACCAATGAGGTTCATTCTCGTGTTACGCAGCACGTTTGAGCTTCCTCAAGAACCAATGAGGTTCATTCTCGTGTTACGCAGCACGTTTGCGCTTCCTCAAGAACCAATGAGGTTCATTCTCGTGTTACGCAGCACGTTTGAGCTTCCTCAAGAACCAATGAGGTTCATTCTCGTGTTACGCAGCACGTTTGAGCTTCCTCAAGAACCAATGAGGTTCATTCTCGTGTAACGCAGCACGTTTGAGCTTCAGCAAGAACCAATGAGGTTCATTCTCGTGTTACGCAGCACGTTTGAGCGTCCTCAAGAACAAATGAGGTTCATTCTCGTGTTACGCAGCACGTTTGAGCGTCCTCAAGAACCAATGAGGTTCATTCTCGTGTTACGCAGCACGTTTGAGCTTCCTCAAGAACCAATGAGGTTCATTCTCGTGTTAAGCAGCACGTTTGAACTTCCGCAAGAACCAATGAGGTTCATTCTCGTGTTACGCAGCACGTTTGAGCTTCCTCAAGAACCAATGCGGTTCATTCTCGTGTTACGCAGCACGTTTGAGCTTCTGCAAGAACCAATAAGGTTCATTCTCGTGTTACGCAGTACGTTTGAGCTTCAGCAAGAATCAATGAGGTTCATTCTCGTGTTACGCAGCACGTTTGAGCTTCCTCAAGAACCAATGAGGTTCATTCTCGTGTTACGCAGCACGTTTGAGCTTCCTCAAGAACCAATGAGGTTCATTCTCGTGTAACGCAGCACGTTTGAGCTTCAGCAAGAACCAATGAGGTTCATTCTCGTGTTACGCAGCACGTTTGAGCCTCCTCAAGAACAAATGAGGTTCATTCTCGTGTTAAGCAGCACGTTTGAGCTTCCTCAAGAACCAATGAGGTTCATTCTCGTGTTAAGCAGCACGTTTGAGCTTCCTCAAGAACCAATGAGGTTCATTCTCGTGTTACGCAGCACATTTGAGCTTCAGCAAGAACCAATGAGGTTCATTCTCGTGTTACGCAGCACATTTGAGCTTCAGCAAGAACCAATGAGGTTCATTCTCGTGTTACGCAGCACATTTGAGCTTCAGCAAGAACCAATGAGGTTCATTCTCGTGTTACGCAGCACGTTTGAGCCTCCTCAAGAACAAATGAGGTTCATTCTCGTGTTAAGCAGCACGTTTGAGCTTCCTCAAGAACCAATGAGGTTCATTCTCGTGTTAAGCAGCACGTTTGAGCTTCCTCAAGAACCAATGAGGTTCATTCTCGTGTTACGCAGCACGTTTGAGCCTCCTCAAGAACCAATGCGGTTCATTCTCGTGTTACGCAGCACGTTTGAGCTTCTGCAAGAACCAATAAGGTTCATTCTCGTGTTAAGCAGCACGTTTGAGCTTCAGCAAGAACCAATTAGGTTCATTCTCGTGTTACGCAGCACGTTTGCGCTTCCGCAAGAACCAATGAGGTTCATTCTCGTGTTACGCAGCACGTTTGAACTTCCGCAAGAACCAATGAGGTTCATTCTCGTGTTACGCAGCACGTTTGAGCTTCCTAAAGAACCAATGCGGTTCATTCTCGTGTTACGCAGCACGTTTGAACTTCCGCAAAAACCAATGCGGTTCATTCTCGTGTTACGCAGCACGTTTGAACTTCCGCAAAAACCAATGCGGTTCATTCTCGTGTTACGCAGCACGTTTGAGCTTCCGCAAGAACCAATGAGGTTCATTCTCGTGTTACGCAGCACGTTTGAGCTTCCTCAAGAACCAATGAGGTTCATTCTCGTGTTAAGCAGCACGTTTGAGCTTCCTCAAGAACCAATGCGGTTCATTCTCGTGTTAAGCAGCACGTTTGAGCTTCCGCAAGAAGCAATGAGGTTCATTCTCGTGTTACGCAGCACGTTTGAGCTTCCTAAAGAACCAATGAGGTTCATTCTCGTGTTACGCAGCACGTTTGAGCTTCCTCAAGAACCAATGAGGTTCATTCTCGTGTTACGCAGCACGTTTGAGCTTCCGCAAGAACCAATGAGGTTCATTCTCGTGTTACGCAGCACGTTTGAGCTTCCTAAAGAACCAATGCGGTTCATTCTCGTGTTACGCAGCACGTTTGAACTTCCGCAAGAACCAATGAGGTTCATTCTCGTGTTACGCAGCACGTTTGAGCTTCCGCAAGAACCAACGAGGTTCATTCTCGTGTTACGCAGCACGTTTGAGCTTCCTCAAGAACCAATGAGGTTCATTCTCGTGTTACGCAGCACGTTTGAACTTCCGCAAGAACCAATGCGGTTCATTCTCGTGTTACGCAGCACGTTTGAGCTTCCTCAAGAACCAATGCGGTTCATTCTCGTGTTACGCAGCACGTTTGAACTTCCGCAAGAACCAATGCGGTTCATTCTCGTGTTACGCAGCACGTTTGAGCTTCCTCAAGAACCAATGAGGTTCATTCTCGTGTTATGCAGCACGTTTGAGCTTCCGCAAGAACCAATGAGGTTCATTCTCGTGTTACGCAGCACGTTTGAGCTTCCTAAAGAACCAATGAGGTTCATTCTCGTGTTACCCAGCACGTTTGAGCTTCCGCAAGAACCAATAAGGTTCATTCTCGTGTTACGCAGCACGTTTGAGCCTCCTCAAGAACCAATGAGGTTCATTCTCGTGTTACGCAGCGCGTTTGAGCTTCCTCAAGAACCAATGAGGTTCATTCTCGTGTTACGCAGCACGTTTGAGCTTCAGCAAGAACCAATGAGGTTCATTCTCGTGTTACGCAGCGCGTTTGAGCTTCCTCAAGAACCAATGAGGTTCATTCTCGTGTTACGCAGCACGTTTGAGCTTCAGCAAGAGGTTTATTCTCCCACATCAAGCAGGTTTGGTTGAGCTTCTGTTTATGTGCGCTGATCAATGTTTATTTGTGAATAAAATCCTAAATCAAATATGTTCATCATATAAAACGACGAGTCTCTTCAGAAAAATTGGACTAAACCAATTGATTCATTTGGATTAGTTTTACGATCTTTTTATGAACATTTTGAAGCATCAAAGTGGTAGTTGCGTAGCTGTCAATGGAGGGGCAGAAAGCTCTCAGATTTCATCATAAAGATCTTCATTTGTGTTTTGAAGATGAACGAAAGTCTTACAGGTTTGGAACGACATGAGGGTGAGTAATTAATGACAGAATTTTCATTTTTGGGTGAACTGACCCTTTAAGCTTAACAAATGCAGTAAGTTTGTGTAAAAAAATCGACAAGAAATTTGAAAGATATTGCTCACTTGTTTGGTAACACTACAATAAGGTTCATTAGTTAATGTATTAACTAACATGAACTAACAATGAGCAATACATTTGTTACTGTATTTGTTCATCTTTGTTAACGTTAGTTAATAAAAATACAGCTGTTCATGGTTAGTTCATGTTAGTTCACAGTGCATTTACACAATGTTAACAAGATTTGAATGAAGTATTAGTAAACGTTAAAATCAACATTAACAAAGATTAATAAATGCTGTATACGTGCAGTTCATTATTAGTTCATGTTAACTAATGTTAACTAACTAATCTTCTTGTAAAATGTTACCATGTTGGTTTCCCATCATAACATAGTAAGGGTCCAAATGATGTCACTTCCTGGGTGTCACCAATTTTAAGTAATGTTACATGTTTTGAAATTGGGAAAAAAATCATGTGGGAACAGGTTTAGATACAGCTAAATATAATGTTTTTGTTCAATAAAATTAGATTTTTGATTTGAATTGATTTTAAATCAATTTTTCAAATTATGTGCTTATAGCTACTTTTCGTGTTAGGCTATTTTTATGCAATATAATAGTTTATTAAAGTCACCCTGAAATCAAAATTATTTGTATGAAATATTGCCTTATTCTAAATGATTTTTTTGTGCTCATCATTATTATTATGTTTTAATTAATGTGTCCTGGTAATTTATTTTATTAAAAATAACTTTCCCTCCCTTTTATAACATCTCTTCTCTGATGACGTGCTACTGGCGTGAGGGCGGGAAATCCTGTCACTCACACGAAATCACAGCAATAGCAAACCACAACCATCCAATCAATTCCCGATGGACACAATCAAGTCCCACCCAACATTTTTTCTTGTTCAAGAAGCCGTTTCATTCGCAAATACGTCACAATATGGAAGAAAAGACTATCGCAACTTCCGTTTCATGATGACTTAAAATATATATAACAAGGTCTCTACCCTACCGTGTATTTTTGGAATGTGCCATAGGATTCATACCATAAAGAACCATATAAATACCATGGTGCATGAATATAGAGGCAGGGCTCTGGTTCATATAATAACGGACCATCTCTCACCTTCAATATGCTTAATGTGAAAGCTTGTTTGTGTGGAGTGATGTGGATGCCCAAATGGCCATGCAGTTCAAATATTTGCTTCAGCGCTTTCAGACGCGAGCTGGAGTGTGTTTACAGTAGAAGAGCTGATGTCACTGCTGGAGCGAGGCCACAGAGCAGCTGACAGCAGCAGAGGACAGTGTGAAGAGCACCAGCTGCCCTCACTGTTCACAAGACTAAATATTTCAGTCTCAGAGCAGTCTGTTAGGGACAGTGAGTCTTCAATCACAGAAAATACCAGCTTTGTTTCAACGTTTCAGAAGGAGAACCATTTCGATGCCATCTGTCGAGAGGTACAAATGCGGAAGAGAGCACATGCAACACCATATGTTAACACTGTAAAGTGAACCAGACTGGTGAATTTTTGTTTCACCATGTCTATATGGTTGCTGTTGCTCATTTTTTTTATATGCTCTCTTTTAAAGCTAAAATTCCCCCTTCCCCCGCCAAAAAAAAAAATAGTGCCACCTATAGGCAAAAGGTCAATCATCGGAATATCAAATATTAGTAAGTTCATTGTCTCACAAATAACGGTTTAAATATTATCAGTGGCATTTTTGCTTGCTGACATTATATATATATATATATATATATATATATATATACTGTATTTGGTTAACCTAATAGGATAAAAGATACTTGGAAAGCTTTCAGGCAATCCAGCCACTTATGGTGTTACAATATTTTTCAATCTATTTTATTTTCTTACCTGTTTTGTGTGTGTTTGGACATCTTGTTCTTTTAGCCACAGGCTTCCATCACGTTCTTTACGCGTTTACTCCTTCTCCCTTGATTTTGCACTAGTTAGAACATTCTTCGCCTTGTCGTGTAATGTTCTGATGATGAACAGTTTGTGTTTCAGTGGGTTTTGAGAGCCAGACCACAGAAATTGATCTGCGTGTGTGAGAGAGAGAGAGTTGATACATAGCACTCCCCCTCTTCTTCACATCACACAAAGCCAGATTATTGTCGCATATATCCTCGTTTCACATTTCAGACTTTGCTGAAGAAGTCTTGGGAGATCTGAAACTAATGTTCTCCGAGTACTACTATAGAGGCAAGGTGACATTCCCTCTGTATATTTTTGGAAGTGTGTCGAGGCCTCCCCGGGACAGAGGCAGTGGTACTGTGACCAGTCCATAAATTATTCCTGTTCCTGCTAGGATGCTCTACACAGTGTTACGGTTTAATTTCACAGACAGTACTTCATTCAGTGGTTGGATAGATTCTTCATCTGATATTTTTCTCTGATGCTGTGGAATGTGTATGTGTGCCTCCAGGTAAAACCAGCTCTGGTGAATGTATTATTTATATGCTCCCTTTTTGCTGAGTTGGTTGGGCTTTTTTGGCTTCGTCATCATTTTTGGTTTTCTCTAGATATAAAGTGGGATGGTGTTCTTCAGTTTATAGTGTTAGGGGGTAACAGTTTAGGACCCAAGGACCAGATGTTTGAAAGAAGACCCGGAGTCAGAATTATAATAAATTGAAGAAAAGTTTTACTGAAGATAGTTTGCAGTTTCATCAGCAGAAGTCAGCTTCAAGACTCACACGGGAGTTCGTAGGCCGCCCTGCTTACAGTTACAAAGATCACATAAGTTATACCCTACACCAAGGTCTAAGCTACGTCCTTGCTTCAGGTTGCAGTTTCTGATTGGCTAAAAAATAGATAAACATAGTAATTTTCCACACATACAGATAGATGGAAGCATATCTCCATCGATAATGCGGCTGACACTCGGACCCTGAAGTTAGGCACGTCGTGACCTTCCAGGTCGCAGATTTGGGTTGCTGGGTGCCAGCATGTCCAGAACAACAACTGAGTCAATCTCCAATAATGCCAGTGGTTCCTTTACCTGTAACCAAGAAGACTAACACACACACACACACCGACACACAGCTTTTCCAAGGTTGGATTTGGCCAGGCTCTAACTATAAACAGGAGAGTCCTCTCAAAACACCAAGATAATGCGTTCTTTCTCTCAAGGAGAGCTACACTTTAATCTAACTGGAAAGTAAGGCTTTAACAAAGAAATGGTCCCTTAAACTATTGGCTTCAATGACCCCAATATGTTTAACACGTTGAAGACCTTTCTCAAACACAAAACAAGTCCCCGTTTCATTTCTGGAAGCCGGGCTAAATAAGATATCAAATACAGACATTAGAGAATACATGAAAAGAACATTTCAGTAATCACACTGGTAACTTCTATAACAAAGTAAAATCTCCAGAGAAGTAATTCAACTCATTTGATATTTAGAAGGAAACATATTGATTAATATCTTGGTTATAATCACTCATTACATATACATTGAAGCAGCAGTGCATTCCAGAATCCACCCACTTCAATAGCAAACCAGTGTAATTTCAGAACTACCAAATATACACCACCATTCAAAAGTTTTTGGGTCAGCAAGATTTTTTTGGAATGTTTGTCTTGGAAAGAAATTAATTTTATTCAGCAAGGATGCACTAATCTGATACAAAAATGACAGTAAAGACATTTATAATGTTCATTATTTCAAATGAGTTAATTTCTTTTGAACTTTCTATTCATCAACGAATCCTGAAAAAAGGTTTCCACAAAACTATACAAGCAGCTGCACAACTGTTTTAATAATCGATTTAAGAATACGTTTTAAGAATATGTTTTTTTGAGCATCAATACAGCATGTTCGAATGATTTCTGAAAAATCATGTGACACAGAAGACTGGAGTGACTTTTCAAAAGCTTTTGAATGGTAGTTCTACTGGTCCTAAATTATAGGCTATTAAAAAACAATATACATTTTAATTTGTAACATGACTCATCTCTTATCTGTTTGCAGGAGGCCCCCCTGATGTTGGTAAAATGCTGGGAGGAGATGAGGGGGACAAAGACCCTGAAGCAGAAAAAGAGAAGGAAGAGGAGAGACAGGAAGCTCTCAGACAGGAGGAGGATGAGAGGAAGGCCAAACACACCAAGATGGAAGCAGAGCGGGAAGTCATAAGACAGGGCATCAGAGACAAGGTTAGAGCAACCAGTAGAACATCTTACATAAAGCCATCATTATCAAATGCTATCTAGTTTCATTTGCTTCTTGGAAGTTAATCCTTAGCCATCCTTAATGTCTCTGCCAAACCTTCTGAAGTCGACTCAAGTCATTATTTTTTATCTTATTAAAGGGACAGTTCACCCAAAAATCATCATTTACTCACCGTCATGTCGTTCCAAACCTGTACATCCTTCTTTCTTCTGTGGAACACAAAAATATTTTTTGAAGAATGTTGGTAACCAAACAGTTTCAATTCCCATCGACATTAGCAGACCGTTTACACCTGGTATTAAGATGTGATCCGATCGACCAAAACGCAAGTAGACGAGGGAGACACATACCCGTTTACACCTGGTGTTTTAATCCGTCTCTTTTGTCCACTTTTAACCACTTCTGTCCTGATTTCTTCGAGGGGAGGGTCTATGGGCGGGTAAATGTATGTTTATTTTTTCAGATCTTTCGATCTAATGGACAAAATAAGCTTAAAGGGTTAGTTCACCCAAAAATGAAAATTAAGTCATTAATTACTCACCCCCATGCTGTACCAACCCCGTAAGACCTTCGTTCATCTTCGGAACACAAATGAAGATATTTTTGATTAAATCTGAGAGGTGGATCTGAGAAGCGACGAGACTACTTTTTGTGCGAAAAAACCCCATAAATAACGACTTTATTCGACTATTCCATTACTTCCTTGTGGGCCTGAGACGAGAGTTGAAGAGATTTCCACAACGCATGCGCGAGAACTGAGAAGCGGACGTTCTTCTTCTACTACTTCTTGTTCAGTTCTCGCGCATGCGTCGTGGAAATCTCTTGAACTCTCGTCTCAAGGCCCACAAGGAAGTAATGGAATAGTCGAATAAAGTCGTTATTTATGTGTTTTTTTCGCACAAAAAGTATTCTCGTCGCTTGATAAACTTATAGTTGAGCCACTGTAGGCACATGGAATATTTAAACATTTTCTTTAATGACTTTCTGGGCCGTCAAGTTTCATTCCCTTAGGCAGCCTATGTAGCAGTGATCCACCTCTCAGATTTAATCAAAAATATCTTCATTTGTGTTCCGAAGATGAACGAAGGTCTTACGGGGTTGGTACAGCATGGGGGTGAGTAATTAATGACTTAATTTTCATTTTTGGGTGAACTAACCCTTTAAGTAATTTACATATGAACGATGAAACGATGGAAAAAGCATAAGGAGAGCAGCAGCTTTCATTTCTGCTCTGACAGCCGCAAGACCACGCCGAACACTAAGTGCGTGCAGGAATGGTGAGAGAACATTGTGCTTGGTCATTTTCCGTCTTCAAACCAAACTTGGGTCTTCAGTCGACAAAGTTTAAATCCCATCTGGCTAGTGCGCTTCTCATAATGTTTACGCATTAGGTCAGGCGGAGAATAGGCAGTCTTTGTGGCTGTTCGAATGCTTTCGACCACATGAGTATTTACATTATGAAATCAATCCGGTCTAATGCGTTTTCAACTAACTCTGTAAGTGGTTGAAAGTGGACAAATTTAAAACATTTTACACCCCGTTTACACCTGTATTTAGTGTCGTCCACTTGTGATCCGATGGACCAAAACGCATCTTAATACCAGGTGTAAACAGGGCCTAAATGGACAAAAAATTAAATGGAAGTCAATAGGGCTGGGACGGTTACCGCATTACCGCAATACCGCGGTCACGTGACTCTAACCGCGGGTCTGAGCTCGTCACCGTCATCACCGCAAAAAAACCAAAACATTGGCCTGCACATGTGTGCACGTTGTGTCTAATGATATGGATTCATTGATTCTAATGACATTGATTATTTCTAATGATAGTGTGTCTTACATGGATTCAAGGTTTTCTAAACAAAACTTATCAAAAGATGGAGCAAATCCGACCTTTCGCGAGTTGGGGATCGCAATATGTTCCATGACACATAATAACATTACATTCGTATTAGAGATGCGCGGATGGGCTATTATTATTTCATCCGCAACGGAACCGCATCACAAAACTCATCATCTGTCCGCCATCCATCCGCACCAACGTTTTTTGATAAATTTTCGTTTTTTGATCAGTTTTAAGGTCTATGAGCGATGCAAGGCGCTGCTGCCACGAGGCTAGAAAGCTCTCGGCTGTTCTAGAAAGGAGACTGCGCATGCAGCAAAGATATTTAAAGGCTAAAGTCCCTAGTATAGCCTATTGGCTATGTTGTATCCTCAGAATATCAGCAGTGAACTCCGTCTCCGATCAGCGCACAGGGATAAAAATAAATAAATAAATATAGCCTATAACGCACATCGGCAAACCCGACCTTACCTTTATCATTTCGTTTTGAATTTTGTTTAAAAGTAGACATTTTAAGCATTCTATTTATTGAGTTTCGGTTCATTTATGAGACGAGCTCCAGTTCACGCGCAAGAGATCGCACCGGCGCTTCCACTTCCTCCTGATTATATGTCTGCTATATTTGCTTCTTATTTATTAATTCCAGGCAATTAGTTAATGAAACAGTGATTAAAATTAAGATACAATTTATACAAAACGAAATTTAATTTAAAGAAAGGCTTTCTACAAAACAAAACTTAATAAAGTGGTCAAAATCATGTCTGACCCATCTTATGATCCTATCTTACTCATGCTGTTCACTTTTTATATAATCGACATAGATTAAATAAAAAATAACATTGTTAACATAAATATGGAATATAATTTTTGTAATTAAGACATGTTGGAAAAGGTGTTCATCTTTCATTTCGTTCAACATCATAATGTATTCTCCTGAAAATGATTAATTCAATGCGAATGTATCTGAGAATATTCTTAAATAAGGAAATCTATTCAGTGATTGGTTCATGCCAAATTACAACTTGATGAAAATTTGACTCTTTCAAATTGTGCTCATTTATTTTCCGGATGTTGGTGAAAATATTTAACAAAGTCTGTCTAGCAAAAAAGCCTTCTGGTGAGTGTGCGAAAGTCTGTCGGGGGGGGGGGGGGGGGGGGGGCTGGGGCGGCAATCCATAGGGCTGGGGCGGCAATCCATACCGCCCCAGCCCTAGAAGTCAATGGGACTTCAACATTCTTCAAAACATCTGTTATGTTCCACAGAAGACAGAAATTCATACAGGTTTGGAATAACATGAGGGTGAGTAAATTATGTCAATATTCATTTTTAGGTGGACTATCCCTTTAATGACCATCAAAAAAATGCTTAAAATACCCACTTTAAAATGATTTAAATAAAATAAATGCACACAACTTCCATTTAGTTTTGTTTGGCAATATCGTGCTAAACTTATATTTGTAAGTTTTACCATGGTAATACCATGATATAAGTACCATGTAAATAACATGGTATTTTGAGTATGACAATCATTCAGTACCATATCACATAACATTCAAAGGTTTGGCCACATTAACTTAAGACTCTAAAGTGCATGTTTGAAATGAGAGTTTCTGTTGCTGTAAGCACTTTTATGGCCTAGGGAATGGTTTTTATTATACAAATATTTTATTTATTTTTTTACATTTAATGTCATGCTCTATGGTTGTGTGTCAGTACGGCATTAAAAAGCGAGAAGTGGCCGAAGCCGAGGCGCAGGCGGCCATGGAGCAGGCGAGCGAAGGCAGTCTGACCCGTCCAAAGAAAGCAGTACCATCCGGCTGCGGAGACGACGACGAGGAGGAAAACATCATGGACACGATGATGAAGTATCTACCGGGCCCGCTGCAGGACATGCTCAAGAAGTAATACCCTGAATAATCTTGAGCACACGCAGCTTTAGATATTATTTTAACGTGTACTGACTTCGGAGGGAAGAGAGCACACTAGAGCAAAACACCATTACCTTTCACACATTTCGATTCGTGAGGATCTTTAGATATTAGTGACCGATCAATCAAGTGAAAGGGGTTAATTATCAGAATATAAGCCATATTTTATCTTTACGCGGAAACCTGAAATCACATCATCTCTTTGGCAGTTATTTATTATCCAATACGTAAAAAGCAATATATATATGCATGAATTGTTCGAGTGTCTGTTCCACCTGTCCGTGTTCATTTAGCGTTCGATATGAGGAAAAAGTATCGTTAACTTTGTTGAAGACATTCTAGTCTTGCATGTTTGTGTCCATAGTGTTTGTGTGCCCACTGACATCTTGTTTTGAGATTGCAATCAGATAAAGAAGGCAATAACATTTCCCCACGCTGTAAGCTAAATGACAATAACCTTTATACATTTGTCACTATGCCATTTAGTTCATTCTGGTGAATCTTGTCACACTTGCACTGTAGTATCATCAGTCTGGAACATGTAATGCCTCAATTCATTTTAACAGTGTTGTCGAGATGCGTTTTCACATTGTCATTGCGCTTTACGTCAGATTTACGACTGAAACTCAGTTTCACAGGGACACTCTATGTGTTTTGAATGGACTGTAATTTCTCTGGTTGGAGCCATGGGGGAATTTTTGTCTGTGACCTACAACATTCTCAGCAATAATAACATATTCTGTTTGCTTGGCTTGCAGTAAAACAAGAAATAAAATCGTATGACTTGTATGAATGGCTCTAATGTTTTAAAAAAAGATTAAATGTGATATGTCTGTCTCAAGAATTGATGTGTATGGCACTACAATAAAACAGTCACACAAATCTAGTGTTTGTGTTTCAATACTGAAAACTGAATTTAATGGGATTTGGGATATTTAAATATTTTAAGAGGAAATGTGTAGTTAGCATGATGTATGTTTGATTTTATGAACAGATGTTAGGCAAATTGAGAGACTGTAATATATATCAATATAGATCAAAAGTTCGGTGTTTCGGATTTTTTTCGAAAGAAATTAATATTTTTATTCAGCAAGAATGATTTAAACTGATCGAAAGTCGAAGACATTGTTAATGTTACAAAAATTTTTTTTAAATACATGCCGTTCCATTTAGCATTTTCTATTAATCAAAGAATCCTGACAAAAATGTATAATGGTAATTACTACTATTGACAGTAATAAGAAATGTTTCTTGAGCAGCAAATCATAGAATGTCACGTGACCCTGAAGACTAATGTAATGATGCTGAAAATTCAGCTTTGTATCACAGTAATAAAGTACACCTGAAAATATATTAAAATAGAAATCAGCTATTTTAAATTGTAACAATATTTTACAATATTACCGTTTTACTGTATTTTCAGCCTTTGTGCGACTTCTTTCAAAAACATTAAAAGAAATCTTACTGACTCCAAACTATTAAATAGTAGTGTATATGTACTTGCATGTTAATCCAAATTTCACACTGCAGTAAACTAAAAAATAAAATTGACATTAAACAATCACATACATTTTAAACTTTTGAAGAAACCACAAAAAGCACAAAGTCTCAAATGATGCTAACACGTGAACAGATTCTTTGTATCTGAAAAAGGTGCAGCCACCATTAATACACTAAACCATAAAGTGGCACTGTTAGTTAAACTTTTATGAGCATAAATATTTAAACAGCATTCCCGGTATGAATGTGATCATTAAAAAAAAAAGCTTTCTGCTGAGGGCAACATTTCAACACAACTTTTTCAATCTTTATTTACTCAATAAACCACATACAGTAAGGTGCACTAACAAAATGTACATTATGTGCACCAGCCCAGGGACTCTATGGCAATCATTATGGACCTGCTTCCAAACACGGGACAAGACAATCAACAGTGAATTTTCCCTTTTTGGTTCTGAACAAGACAAAGTCCTATAAATGTTCTGTCCTTTAAACAGTAGGAAAATGTTTACATCCATAAAACATACGGACTTTTACTGTGCTGGGAGAGTGCAAAAGGAGTAAGGCCTGATCACGGACAAATATATGAGAAAAACATACACACACACACACACGCCCTGCTCAATCACTGCACAAGCAAGATTGCAAATGATGACTAGTCTCACGAAAACTGCCAAGAAATGACCAGGTCACATTTTATCTCAAAAACAAGATGCATGAAAAACTAATTATATTTAGCAAAATAATTATATTATTTAAATTGTTAAGTACAATTGTGTTGTTTGTACTGAACTTTGACCTTTTATTTACAGTAAAAACATTACTATAATGAGAATTCAGGAGAAAATGTGCTTAATTGTATAATCGTATGTACATCCATCTGGTACTGTTCGCGTGTCAGTCAAAAATGACTGATTTATTTTTAAAATTATTTCAATGAAATGATTGTACTACATTTTAGTTCTTATTTTTTATTTAATATTTTGTATTTTTAGAGGATTAAATATGCAGTAGTTATAATTCATTTACGGTATTCATTTTTTGAGCATGGACCTGAAAATTAAATTTCCAACTTAAACAGTCATAAATATTAAATGCTTTGGAGCTCAGACTTAAGTTTGGTCTCTTTTTAAAAATACCATTTAAAAATTTTATATGAAATACATATTTTCCAAAAAATTTACTCTAAAACTGTGAGAAAAATCAAAGCCATAAATCTAAACAAGTTAGCTTTCGGTAAGAATTTGTTCGTGCGCAATAACATTTCCATTAGATGTAATTCGTCTTACATTTAAATCCAATGCGGTCATTTTTGACCGCGAACAATACAAGTGTGGCTATTTTTTTCAGGACCATTTGAACCGTGTCCAGGATTTTTTTGGTGTGTGTGTGTGTTCAGACAACAAATGCAAAAACCTTTACCAAGTTTCATGCCATTCTAATAAAGTAAAAAAAAAAAACTTAATTTGTGAGAGCAGGCATAGAAAACAATACAAGTTTTCTATTGTGTGTTATGATCCTCACTCAAGAGTAAAAAGCATTTGAGGAACACTACTACAGGGAACACTTTCTACATGTCAATCAAATTCATTTTATAATAAGTAGTTATCATAGAGAGAGACTGTTAGTATAATAAAAGAGAGATATTGCTAATTGTGGGAAATGAAATACAGTCCTGACTCCTGACCATGAAAGAAGATGTTTTCCCTCATCAAACAAAGAATATAAAATCTATAAATAATTTCATAAATATGATGGAGCGGTGCCAATACATAGAGCTTGGATTTTGTGCTGCTTTCAGGTGACCAATAAAGGTACATTCATACTGACTTCGCAAAGTGAATTCGCATTAATTTTCAATGCGAGTTGGTGATTTGAGGCGACAAATATGGACCAACAATGCACTTCCATTGGTATTCGCCGCATAGCGGAGTTCACATGATTCTACAGTCAAATGCGCATACTAGAAACCACAGTACAGTGACTTGCCAACAATTCATTTGTAGAGTGACAAATTAACCAGTTGTTAAAAATTTTAAGAGAGAAGAACATGTCAATTACAGCATATCCCAAAAACACACAGTAAAAACATGCTGTAAAAGCACTTCTATGCGACGTGCGTGAGGACTACCACTATAGTGAGACTCAAACTGGCCCGGCGAAGGCAAAACCACAGCTACAATCAGTCAAGTTGGAAGTTTGATGCTCTTGGTGTGCATCCAAACATAGCAAAATGGCAGCCTTTAAGGTCAAACTGTTTACAGCAAGAAAATGATTTCAGCTGAGAACATTGTGATAAACTGAGCGCCATTTTCATCTTTACTGCTTCCATCAACACAAGTAGGTGATTTTTCCCTACTAATGTTATGGCAGGTAGTTTACACATTTATAAAACGCTCTGCCATGAGTAACTGTGTCTGGTAAACAGAGTGGCGTGGTACCTTCGGGTTTCCAGATCTGGGGCTTTGAAAAAAAGCATTCTGAATTGAATGTTTTCTTTAGATGACCCTGTGGGTTACCTGTAAAAGGGACAGAAATGGAGGGAGGATATATGGGATGAGATGGGGTGTGATGTGATGTACAGTATACTGGTGCAGGTCCCAGGCCATAGAGGGTTCTCCCGCTGCTGCTACACGTTTGTCCGACATTTAGGAAAGATGGGCCCTCCTTCAAGCCTTCTCTTTCTTACTGCACACACAAACAAAAAAGGGTTGATCACCTTTGAGGACATAAAAAAGCTGACATACTTCGGAATTATACTTTCATTATAACAGCCTATAAAGGGTTCAATAATACAGATTTTATGTTCTGCTTTGTTTTTACTTTTAGGGATTTTACTTGCCCTATCAGAATTTTTCCTAGCCTCACATCATTAATACAATATATATATTAATATAACATAAATAAAATAATTTAAAAACATTTAATAAATGTAAAATATTTTCTAAACATTCTAAATAAAATAAAAGAATGTGCTATAATAACTGCCATTTAAAACCACAATGTAACTGCATTAATGCTATGAATTCATACATGCATTTTTTGCTGGAAAACAATACATTTCTGGGCCCGTATTCATAAAGATTCTAAGAATCCTCTCAGAAAACTCTTAATTTAAGCTTAAAAACTTTTATGAAGTAGTTTTAGCTTAAGAGCGATTCGGGACCGAAAACTTTCATCTTAGTGAGGAGGCGGGGTTGACCCCGTTGCTATACATGACACAATCTTTTGAAGACTGTGATTGGTTGGTTGTCCAAGAAGGAAAAAAAAAAGAGTGATTTTAAGTATAGGGTCTATTCTAAGCCTTCACTTTGAAATTACATGCGTTATTTTTCCTATTTGACCGTTCTCTCTCACACACATATTATATATGTGTATGTAAATCCTTTTTTTTTATTTACCATGCTGTTAATTGGCTTAGAATGATAAAAATTGTTCCACTCTTTCCAATTACACTGATTGCTGGCATGTCTATTTAAGTGGTGGTTTGAATGTTGGTTTTAATGTAACAAATATGGAATCAAAACCAAGAAGGACGAGAAAGCCCAACTGGACAGAGGAACAGTGTTTACTGTTAGCCCAGTTAGTGGATGAACACAAGGCCATCCTTAAAGGAAAATTCGGGCCGGGTGTCAATCTATAGCGTCTTATTAACTCACTGTCTGCAACACATTTCTTCTCCCTCTTTGTCTTTCTGCCATTTCCTCCTCTGCTAAAGAAACTCTTAAGCCTCTTAAAGGTCCTCGTCCGTACTCCAAACAATTTTGACCTTAAGACCTCTTTTAAGGGTTTAGATACTTTCTGAATTACTTTTTTCTTTACTAGGATTTTTTCTTTAATTTTAAGAGTAAACGCCCACATTTCTAAGAATGTTCTTAGAATTTTGTCACTAGGAGCTACTCTTTGCATTAAGATTCTTTATGAATACGGGCCCAGATTTCTTTTCTTTCAAGACTATTAAAGGACATTCTTACAATTTCTCATAAAAACTTTATATTAGACATTGGGAAATCCTTATTGCATTTGTAGATACCACAGACAGAAACTGGAAATTGCAATTAAAGGAATAGTTCACTCAATTAAAAAGAGTAATTTGTATGGCTTCAAATGGCTTGAAATATAGCGCGGGTCAAATGGGCTACTTTTATGGTGCTTTTTGGAGCTCAAAAGCTCCAGTCCCCAATCACTTTTATTGAGGCATTCTGTTAATTCTCCTTTTAAAGAAAGCCATATGCGTTTGGAAAAATAATCATAATTTGGGGAGAACTATTCCTTAAAGAAAAAGCTCTGCATGCACAGCAAGCCAGAGGCCATTTTCAATCATGTTTATGTAGATTTGGCATCAGAATACTCTCTCTATGCAGAAGAAAGTAAAGACTAAACCTGAAAACCTGAAGACAAGCCATCTGACAGTCGGACAAACACCGCAACAACAATAGCACAGACGAACAAAACAACCAAGAAACAACCAGATAATGAAACAGACAGGGTTTGAATTCACTTTGATGGAGGGAAATGCAGTAGTGGAGATGCTGAAGCGGCAGAAGGGAGCTTGAGGAAAAGTATAAAAGTTCATAACGATCCAGAGATTTGAGGTATTGCGAAAAGGCTAAAATAAGAGCAAAAAGACAGCAGGTAGTGCCCAGAGGGAGAGAAGGAGGGCAAGACTCCGTGTTTACTTGGGTTTTGATGTGAACTTGAACTTTTTACAGAAGGCTCTTTCCAGCTCAGGGACCGACAGAGTGAATGTGATCGCGCCATCTGTGTCCGACCGAACTACACGTGCTGTAAATACATACATGGCATGAACACACCAATACTTACACTACCATTCAAAAGATTCGGGCCAGTAAGACGATTTTTAAAAGACATTAATACTTTTATCAAGGAAGACAGCATTGATAAAAATTGACATTTTAATTTCAAATAAATGCCATTCTTTTTTCTATTCATCAAAGAATCCAGATTTTTTTTTTATCATGGTTTCCACAAAAATATTAAGCAGCACAACGGTTTTCAACATTAATAATAATATGACATGTTTCTGAAAATTCAACTTTGCCATCAATTGTAATAAGATTTCACAATATTGCTGCTTGTACTGCATGTTTGACCAAATAAATGTAACTTCGGTAAGCATAAGAGAAGTCTGGAAAGACTTTTTTTTTAACTGGATTGTACCCATTTCAGCACATCCAGCACACACACACAAAAAACAACAATCAATTTTAATTCTGAAAATACACATACAAATAACAAATCTGACAGCATCAGAGCGTGTATTTCTTACCAAGGTCATTGTTGCTCATCATGGCATTAGATCCACGCAAGCGTGGGCCCTGCTGGGTGAAATGGTATCCGAATTTCAACAGAGTAGTGTTCTTCTCCAAAATGTTAGCTATCTCCATCTCAACCTTATTACCCAAAGGCTGGCTCTGTATCACACATACACAGATGATATACATGTAAGATATAAATACAGGATATAATGCAATAACTCTTTTAGACCAGTTATACCACTTGGCTTCATTTGCCCCTCCATCATCATTACCTTCAGACTGAACCCCTGACCTCATTGATAATGGCTCAGACCTTTATATAACTTAATTCTGTGTATGTGTGTGTGAGCGTACCTGGTTGTCAATCTTTAGCTCCTGCAGTGTAGTGTTGCTCTTTAAGGATTCCACGAGTGCCAGAATTCCAGCTCCAGTAATGAAGTTAGACTCCACATTTAGACTCTTCAAAATGGTGTTCACTTTCAGCATGTCTGCTAGTGCCTGCGAACCAAACAACATTACACGTATCTACACTACCGTTCGAATGTTTGGGCTCGGTAAGATTTTTTTATGGTGTTTGAAAGAAGTCTTTTATGCTCACCAAGACTGCATTTATTTGATCTAAAATACAGTAAAAACTGTAAAATTGTGAAATATTATTACAATATACATTTTTTTTTTTTTCTATTTTAATATATTTTTAAAATGTAATTTAATCCTGTGATGACAAAGCTGAATTTAGCATTATTTCTCCAGACTTCAGTGTCACATGATCCTTCAGAAATCATTCTAATTTACTGATTTGGTGCTCAGGTAACATTTCTTATTATTACCACATTTAAAAATGGTTGTGCTCCTTAATATTTTTGAGAAAATATTTATATATATATATAAAAAAAATCTGGATTCAATGTGTGTGTATATGTATGTATGTATATATATATATATATTTTTTTTTTTTTGGATTAAGTATTACAGTAATGTGCTTAATTGTCATGGGTCACAATTCCAAAAAGGAATTCCAGGCTGCATTTTCTTTATGGAAAATATAATTTCTTATTTGAAATTATTTGAAAAATCTAAACTTTGAGAATGAGTGTGCTTTTTTAACTCACAAAGGCTACAGGATCGTTACTTCTGGTGCCAACGATGCTCAGGCGCTCCACAACACTGTTCCCTTTAAGAGCTTCAGCATACGCTTTCAAAGTCGGGATTGGAATATTCTACATATCACCAGAAAAAAAGAAAAAGAAAAAGAGAACGCATAACAGGGCAAACCATCAAAACGGCAGGCTAGCAGACACATAAAAACCCACTATTTAACAGAAAGTATAATTAAAAGAGTGAAAGTAGCACCTTGATGTTATTTAGGTTGACCTCAATAAGATCTGGATCATTGCTTTTGATTCTCTGTAGTGTTTCCTCTACATCTGTGTCATTGGGCTGTTCATCTGGCACTGGCTTATACTGAGTGCACTGGATTACACCTGTGTTTATAATACAACTCTGAATTACAACAAATCATGTGGTTCAGTGCCAGATATAACACAATACTATATCACACGGCACACACCTATTTAATGTGGTCCCAAGCCACATTACAGATGTATAGGTTTGTATTATATTTATTTACATTTTACATGTATGTATTTGGTAGACACTTTTATCCAAACTGACAAGATTCAAATTGTGTTCTACTGTTTCAGTAACAGGAATACTGAGTTACAGAACTAAATATCAAACTAAGTTGAATTTATTTTCTCTCTACCTGAAGAACAGCTGGTTAAAAGTATTTGCAAAAATATCCTTTAAAAAAAATGAAAGGTCGAGCATAATTTGTTTAGTAGATGCCACATGGTTTGATATTTTGCATTTGACATTCAGGCATGTTTAAAGGTGCAGTGTAATTTTTTTTGTTGCAATTTTTACAGAAAGAAATACTGTAAAAAAAATGCTACAGTAAAACATGTTAATTGGTTGACTACGTTACCTTACTATATATACGGAGAAAAACTGTAAATGGTTTAACATTACACATAACATATCCGCATAGATTTTTTACTTCTTATTTTTGTTATCAGTAATGTATATTAGTGTGTTTTAAATTATATTTTATGTCATTTAGTTTATTACATTATATTAGCGTCAAGTGTGTTACCCTGATGGTGATTTGTCTTCTGTACGTATGACCCTGTGCACTGTCTCTGTCGAGCATTGACCATGTTTTAAGAACAGGCCACTTACGATGAACTCTGATTCATCATGTAGCTTTCTATTCTGCCACCTGTATTATTGTGGTGGTTATTGATACATTTTAAAGGTAAAAAGGTAGATTTTGGTAGTTTGGTAAGTTAACATTATATCACTTAATGGTTATAAGTTGTATACAGGCATCCCTGTAAAACTGGAAACATTTTCACAGTATTTTTTACGGTGAATTACGGTCAACCACAGCTGCCAGTTATTTGAATTTAACAGGATTTTTTTTTTAGTGTGCCTTAAGTTTCCAAGCACTTTCAACCTAACTTTATCCAATATACTATAATATATAGCTTGTACTACTATATATAACTTGTATTTTACAGTTACTTCTGATTAAAGAATACAGTGCAAACACAAACAAATACTAATGCCAAAAACTTGATTGATCATAAAACAATCAATCAGACAAATATAAAGCTTCAAACCAGACAAAACCATTACAGGATAAGTGCTGTATTCACTTACTGTTCAAACCCTGTTTGTTGACGATAGTACTGCTGGCCAGTGCTTCATAATATTGCTGGTTGCTCATCAGTGTGTGCATGCCCAAGATGGCTGCAGCAAGAGAAAATGTTTTCAAATTTATATGATCCTCTGAATGAAACAGGCAGTGTTTGCTATTTATGACTTGTTCATGTAAATCATATGTAAAATCATGTTTTCCAAGGTATCAACTGAAAATCATTCACATTTACCTGATGAAAACATCAAGCAGACCAGTAATGGCATCAAATTAACTAGACCAGACCAAAAAAAACTCAAATAAAATGAAAAAGGACCGCAAAACATCTAAATAGCAAGTCAAGAGGAAAGTGCAATTTAAGAGTCGGGAATGTATGCTGTATCTGACAGTTGACAGAGGGCCAAAGACAACTGAACTAACCTCATTCCCATATGAAGCTGTAATCGGTCTGTACACATAAGATGTTCAGACTGTTAAGCCAACTCCTTAAATCCTGCTGTTTTCGAAACATGATCCCAAAGGGGAAAAAAAACAATCGACCTAATTTTTAGGGAAACCACTCCATCATGTTAAATGGGAGTAGAGCAAGTAGCTGACAGTTGAGAGGGTTTTTATTTTTTAGCCAGCAGAAAAACTTTGTTCCCCTTTTTTGGTAGCCAAGTGTCCTTAGTGCACAAGGATGAGTCATTGTTATGAAAGAAAAAGAACTCAAACTTGCATACGCAGTTTCAGGAACTAACACATGCATGCTTCACGTAAAGGACTAGTTCACTTAAAAAATAAAAAGGAATCATTTACCCTGTTGTTCTAAATCTGTATGATTTTGTTTCTTCGTGAAACACAAAATAAGAAATTTTGAAGAATGTTCATGCTGCCCTTTCCTGTACAGCTCAAGTATACAGTGAAGGAAAGGAAAGGAAAGGAAAGGAAAGGAAAGGAAAGGAAAGGAAAGGAAAGGAAAGGAAAGGAAAGGAAAGGAAAGGAAAGGAAAGGAAAGGAAAGGAAAGGAAAGGAAAGTTAAATGAGTATGGAACATCATGACTAGTACAAGATGACAGTTTTCATTTTTGGTTAAAGCAACCTTGAAATAACACTTAAATCATCATGCAGATAGCATTCTATGCTGAACATCCCATGCAAATATTCAGCTAATGTATAAGAAACATTCTGGAAATGTTAGAGCAGCACACAATGTTGCAGATTAACCTACTGGAGTGATCCGTGGCTTAGAAACGATGGAGCAGGGGAGAGGACAAAGAGAATTAGGAATGAAGATGTGAAAATGGAGTGGAGAGGACTAAAGGACAGACCAGACAGAGGCACATCGTGAGATAGACACACACAGAGGAAGTTCAAATTAGTCAATGAAATTACAGATGGATTGATTCATATGAATATGAATTAATATTAAAATGAGTGAACTGAATTTAATTATGCCTTAATAAAGATTAAGTGAGGTTACAAAATAACAGTAAAAACTGGATTCTTTAAACTCCATTACGGATTATGTGCGTACCCATATAAAGTCAGAATTATATATTTAAAAATACAATTTTATAATTTAATTTATAAAATGGTGTCTTGGATTCAAAAAAGCATAGTCTACTATATACAGGAATTAAATTGGTAACATTACACTGTACCTGCTATATCGCACAATTCTGCATCAGTTGCACTAGATAGCGCCTCTTCTAGTTCAGGCTCCAGAGTGACATCTTCTAGGATAGGGTCCACTTTTGTCTTAGGCTCCCACACTTTTCCTACATACACACATACAGAAACAGAGAGTGAGGGAAAAATACCTTCATTTATTTTTGCTAAAATTATGACTGTACTACAGGTGCCGTAATTTCAAAATCATGATTTTGCCCCCAAAAAACAAATTTCAAAATGTCAGTATACTTTTAAATAAAGGAGACAATACCCTCAGTGAAAAACAAGTTTGATGCATAAATGAGACAGAGACATGGAAAAAAATGAAGAGAGATTGGTAGAAAATGAAGACAAATAAAAAGTAAATACTACTTGTGAACAATATTACTGTGCATCATTTCAAGCTCTAATGTTATGCAAAACGAGTAAAATACAAACGGTGTACAGTATGAATCTCTAATTTAGATTCATAAAAGTGATGTCAAATTTGTATTAGTTAAACAAAGTAGATTGTTGTTTATTTAAAATGTCACTACAAAATGTCAAACACAAAGCTTGAAAAGTCAGTCTAATGGCAATGTTTATAACTTTCAGGTTAAAGAAAAAAAAAAAGACAGAACTTCTGTGATATACAGTACATGTCACACGCCGTTGGACATTATTAATGGACAAATTACAAACTAATGAAAGCATAAAAAGAATTCATTTTCTAAAAGTTCACAGGGTCAAAAGTGCCCATGGTTCTAAATGCACGTCGCTTCTCACCTCTTTTCTCGCCAGTGTAGGGAACAAGGTCATCTCGGTCTGGATGTTCTTTGGCTTGTTTCTCCAGGTGAGCTAGAAGGTCATCTCTCTGGAACGTTCCGGTTGGAGATTTTTTAGTCTGATCCCTCTGTCTATATCCTGCTGGCAACAGTGCGTTCTGAAAACAATTCATAAAACATTAGTTTTGTCATCAAACTTTCATAAAAAGCACACAGAATGTAAGATAGCATATTACAACTAGAATGTACATTTCCTGAAGAAAATGTGAGTGGTGCTTGAAGTGGCAAAACTCGGCACTCGGTTGCTAGGGTGTGGTTACACAGTTACCATGGTGATTATTTACAGACTGATTTTCCAACCGAAACAAACGAGCCCACCTCCATGTCTATACAATGTTCTGGTGCTGAGATATAGGTATTCATGTGTTTGTACAGTTGCTAGGGTACTCTTTATGGTTACTAGGGTTTGCTTATACAGTTTATGGGTTGATATTTAAAGACTGTTTGCCAGTCTGGGTCAAAAAAAGGCCAACTCTGTGTTTCTACAATGTTCTTGTGCTGAGATTTTGTAACTAGTTGCTACGGCGTGGCTATGAAGTTGTTATGTCGCTACTTATTGGCTACTTCATAGGCCGAGTCATAAGAGCCCAACCCCAAGTCTCTCTGACCTTCTGATCCAAAGATATGATCTTACAATTTTTGTGCCAATGTTATATGGAACTTTTTCGCCGATTTATCGCCCGCCAGATGAACATAGTACACCCGATCACTTATAAAATTCATAGCACACCTCTCCTCAATAAACCGGTCCGGGAGGAGTAGCGTTCTGAAGTTTAAGTAGCAATAACAATAGTGATGCCTTGCCTTTGGCAAGCACCACTAATAAAATAATTTGCCATATCTTAAAATGTCATGGATTCTAATACCATCACCAAAGTACAGTCGCAGGAGCCAGTTTCCATCAATTTCCATCTTTACCAATTATTTGAAACAGGTTTTATTAGATTTACGAAGTGTACACCTAACCCAGGTTTTCTAAGGGGGCTTTTACACTGGGCTCGTTTGCTGCGGTCCGAGCCCGAGCGCGTTTGTTCCCGGCGCCCCCCGCAGCGTTGGTCTGGTTTCACACACAACTTGATTCTATCAAACCCTGGTGCGTTTGCGTGCATATGACGTCATCGCAAACGTGCACGGCGCATAATAGAGGGTACGCGCATGACGTCACCGTCGGCCGGAGTGAATGCGGTCACGCCCACAAGTGGCAAAAAGACTGAGCGGCAGCATTTGTTTTCAGCGTGAATGCCGTGAAAATCACACAAAACACATCTAAAACGGGAAAGAGCTTTGCGATTGACTGTACAACTAGATTTGACCAGAAATCTGAGGTACTGTATATTTTTACAGACTGCAAAAAGCTACAGAACAGACTATATTCTGCATAATTGGATGTTTTTAAATAAACTGACAAAAAACTATACAAGTTTTAGGGCTGGACGCTGTAGCGGAGATGGCGTGGGTGCTTGGGTGCGGCCGCCCCAGGGCCCCGTGCCAATTAGGGGCCCCTCAAACGCCGCCGATCTTGCGTCACTAGCCGCGTTTCCATTAAAGATTTGCGCAAAACTTTTGCGTTTTTTCTAAATATCGATAAAAAACTATTGCGAAATGACGGCGTTTCCATTAACCGATGTTATGCGACTTTGGACGTTTATAGGTTTAACACATGTGAATAGACGTGCAGCCACCGCACAAGACATTATTATTATTAATGGAAGGAGACGTGGTGTGTTATCCAAGCATTAATGGTAAGGAAAGACCCTAATACTGTGAACGGCACATGAGGTGTTTTTGTGCGTTTCTTCCTCATTTCTGCTCCAAGGTCTTGATTGTGGCATTTCTTTGAGGTTTAGAATCCAGTATTCCTGCAATTCTTTTATGAATTTAATAAAGAACTTTGTCTCGTATTCTGTCCAAACGGTCCGTGTACTTTTGCGTCCATTTATTTTTCCTTTTTTAACCCGTAGCTTAATTGAAAAACGAAAAATGAACGGTTGTTGTATTTTTAAAGCGCAAAGTTGAACAACAAATTTTCAATTTGAACTGTAGCCTACTACACACCAATGCTGCCCCAAAAAATAAATATAGACGAATTTTCAGATTTTTGTTTATGACTTTTTGCCCCTTTATTAAACATTTAAAATATTCACAAATTAATATGAAAAAAATGTTGATTTTACTGGTTTTCTAAGGCCAAATTAGAACCCGATGATATTTTTCCCGCAGTGCTGAATAAGAAGAGCCATGTCTCTGGAACCATAGCCTAGGTGATTTATAGGGGATTATAGGCTAATGATAATAAATGTGTCTGAAAAAATAACGAGGCATTTTAATTGTTTATTAATAAACTATAGTGTTAGTGCCGACTGCAAACATATTTTCATCTCTGTAAAGCGGATGGGATGCGCCTTTAGAGAGAAATGCACCTTTCATATGGATTACATAATCAGAAGGTATTTGCTTTCGATTTGAATTTGTTCGTTCAAGCTTTAGCCTATAGGCTATATTTTGTTTCAGTTCATTTCTGAGACATGTTCCAGTTCACGGAGATCATGAAAGCGCGCCTGATTGTTTTCTTTTATTTTGCAAAAGAAGAACGTTTTCTTGTTATTGTGAGTTTACACAAATAAAAGTAGTTGCGGATTATGTATTATTATTTTCTGTATGACCATAAATGATAGAGTATTTTAAGTTGTTTCCACTGTTGACAGGAAAATGCAAGTGTTCGCGCCCGCGCCTCCGTCATCCAGTGCGCGCTCCACAAACCCATGGATATACGTCAAAATCTTGTGTTTATTTGTGATAATCTTAGCCCTGTATTATTATTGTCTAACCTGTATTATGAATGACATTTGACGAATTGCTTTGTTCCTTTTTTGCATAAAAGCGCCTTCTAAATATGTAGCCTAATAAATGTAGCCTATGTAATAGGCTATAATAATTATTATTATTATTATTTGCGTTTATAACTATAAATGACTTCACTTAAGACAGTTATATGTTTATCATAAAATAATTGATGAATGTATTATTTTTATATAACCTTTTACAGTTTTGGAAAATGAGTTTGTGTTATATTTCTTTTTTTGTATGAGAAGTCTTTTTTTGCTATTCTATTATAGCCTATGAGCTCTCCTTTAAAGATACAAGTACCGGGCTAAATCTTGTTTTTTAGAAAATTCAAGAAATTACAAAGAACTGATATTTACAAATCTGAGAGCGCGGATTAGGATATAGTGGGTAGGCTATAGGCCTACAGTTTATTAATCCGTGGGCACGATTTGTTAAACCGATCGAGGGAACAGTTTGTACTCAACCGTAAGTAGGCCTACGGTTTATAAACTTGAGGGGACGGATTGCAAAACCGTCGCCACAGATTTTTTTTCATTTAGGCTATTTTATTTTTTCACAGACGCTCATTATCTAAATGTTCCGTGTCAAAATGAAATGCAGAAATCAAATTTCGCAGAGTTGTAGGCCTATGTCAATTAGGCCTATTTGATTTTCAATTAAATAAGCAATAGGCTATATAAGGAAAATAAGTTTGTATGTGAATATTTTTTCACCAGTCTAAAAACTAATAAAGAAGAAAGCATCTTTTTCGTTTTTCATACGAGTTAAAGGGAAAACGAATGGACGCAATAGCCTACGGACCCCAAACACACGCGCCTTCTAAGTCAGGTGACTGTAATTGCGCAAAAACTGTTTCCATTGCAGTTTTGCGAAATATTCCTTTTTCGAATTGCCTGAAAATCCACCTCATGCGAGCGTAAAAACTTTTTTGCGATAAATGGGAGTTTTTGCGAAATTGACATGTTTCCATTGAGCGTATTTTTAATTCGCAATTTCAATTTGCGCAATTTGAAGGGTAGCCTAATGGAAACGCGGCTACTGACAGGAACGGGGCCCAGGCAAAGTACACCCAGCAAACACATTTACGTTGCGGCAATGCCTGTGGCACGTTGCATTTCTGCTATGGCAACGTCGCTGTCTACGTGCTCGCAACATTGTAACAACGTAGAATTGAAAGATTCAACAGGGCTGTAGCAACGCTGTTGCACGACATTCAGCAACTGAGAGACGACTTTCTGACAATTAGCCTACATTTTCTAGTATGCTATAGATATCCCCATTTAGAAAGTTATGTTTTTGAGGTTAATTTTTAATTAGTCATTAGATAATTATATACTTTTAAAATATTGTTGGCTATTTTATTTAACATATAAGATTACTTGGCTCAACAAGTGACACATTCTTACATATGCATTCATCAAATATTTTACGTTTTTTTAACGGTTTTAATTTTAAAATGACTTGGTAGCAGAGGGCCCCATGATGAAGCTCCGCCCCCACTGTACCGAGAGTCTAGCTCCGCCCCTGGACGATATGATGATATACAGTATAACATTAATGTAAGTGATCACTCGGATTTAGACCTATCTATATTGTATTTATATAAAACGTTTACAGGCAAATTGTCTTCATTTATTTCCCCGGCGTCGAAATCAGGCACATATAAATGTCAGGAAACACGATTCCTGGCTGCATGTCAATATCCATGGATCACTGGATCTTTGATAAGTTGTAAGGAACACTATATCGAGTCCAACTTTTAGTTTAAACTGATAATAGTTTGTTTTACTCGCGTTAACGCAGTTTCCCCTATTAACTCCAGTCACGCAGCAGCTCTTCTGCCACTCAGTCCCGCTGAGGGGGGCGTGTTCCGGCGGGGAAGTGACGTTAATGCATTCCCTCTATAGAAAACAGAACGTGGGTCAATATTGTGTTTTTTTTTTATTAATTCGCTGCTATTATGCGCAGTTGAGTGAACACTACAGGTTTACTGTGCGTGTGTCACATAAGGTGGACTTCTGCTGCTTGCAAACGGACTCTTTTTAGGAGACAGTGGATTTCCAACTTTGTTGCCCTGATTCCACGCGCAATGCACGAATACACTGCACGCAGGCTCACTCTCGCTCGTTTCCAAGGTAAATCATCAACACTATCATCCCTTACAAGCGTTTTATTTAACTAAATACATCACAATAAGCTAAAAACGCATGCGCAGGTTACTTTACTTCCTGAACAAGTGCGCACCCGAGTCCGTGTTGCTTTCACATTCACGCGAACCGCGGCACGGTTCGGGAGCAACCGAACTCAGACCACCTCCTGCAGGTAGTCTCGGGTTCGGTACCCCAGTGCGCACCCGGGCCCCATGACAGCGTTCACATTAGCGATTTTTCATGCGAACCGTGCCCCGTTCCGGCTTTCAACCACATACTGACAATCACAAACTCCATCAGCGCCTGAAATAGTAAGCAATGATAACATTATTTTAAGTCAGGGCCTATCAGCCCATATCCACAAAAAAGGGCTGCAGAGCTAAAGAGGGGGGGATGTCAACGTATGTGCATGTTAAATGTGATGACAGAATCCAGAACACATAGCATTTCAAAGAGAACTCAGAGAGAACAGAACTTTATACGGCACCTCAGTATTGTTTATTCTTAGTGCAGATAAAATTGAGCAAATGGAGACAAATTAATTCTAAAGTGACATCTAAAATCATTAAAGTAGAGATTCCCACTGCTAAATTTACAGCACAATTTAGTGTTTCGGGAAAAGGCTCGGCTTTGGTGGAGAATGTTTATTTTTGTTACATTTGAGTAGATTAACTTTTGTTCCAGCACCAGTATTTATGGTAAACTTCTGCACCTCTGGCTGAACATCTCAGTAAAGGAGAAGAAATTCTCCTTTCCCTCTTCTCTGTTGCTGGACATTTATCCAACGCCTGTCTCTAAATCTGTCAAGAAGTGCTTAGATGCTGGAGTGAAACCAGATTCCTGAAGAGCAAATAAAAAACTGTGGTCTGAGTGAGAAAAAGAACACTATCAACAGAGAAAACCACAGCCTTACGACAGTGGATTCCCTAAAAAAACACTACAGCAATACAACTCTGCACACTCCAACCACTGTAAAACAACAGTCCTGTCAAACTGACAAAAATAGTCTAACTCAGAAACATTAAAGTCCAGACAAACAAAAAAAGTGGGCCTGTCAAACTGACAAAAATAGTCTAACTCAGAAACATTAAAGTCCAGACAAACAAAAAAAGTGGGCTTCTCAAACAAAAATGGCATTGAAACAACAATGTCCAACACCAAACAAAACATAATGGGCTACAACACAGTCTAATATAAAACAACACAGTCCAGTCAAACAAACACCATTACACAAACAAACAAGTTGAACAAAAACCACTAAGAAATAACAAAGTCCAGACAAACATACGAGACTAGGTAGCAACACAGTGCACTTAAACAAACACAACACATTATGCGTAATAGAAAAGTCTAGCCAAACAAACATGACTATAAAGCACAGTCCAGTCAAACAAAACCACAAAAATAAAGTTTGTTTCTTAAACAAAAAATGGCACTGAAAAACAATCGTCAACACCAAACAAACAAAAATCGGATACAACACAGTCCAGTCAAACATATACCATCACACACACACACACACACACACACAAAACAGTCCAGCCAAACAAATAATACTAGGAAACAACACAGTCAGACAAACAAATAAGACTAGGTAGCAAAAGTCCGGTCAAACAAACTACCTTACACATTAAAAGGGAAAAAAAAACTAAACAAAAGAAAAGTCCAGACAAACAAACAATCACCTCTGGGAAACAACACATTCAAGACAAATAGTCCAGACAAACAAACTAGAAAAAAACAGTCTCGTCAAACAAACACCATTATATGTAAAACAGCGTAGTCCAATCAAACCAAATTATAAAACAACAGCCCAATCTAACAAATCCCACAACAAAACACTCCTTTAAAAACAGTCATAGTTTTCAGTGCCAAAGCACTGCTTAAAGGTCCAAATACAAAAATTACAGAAGAGATGGATTTGTTATAAAATAAAAAATGATATCAACCTTTCATAATGCTAAGTATTCAGAGACAACTGAACTGTGTGAGCACATTTATGAATTGTGTGTGAATTCATGCAGCTTTTAAGGTCGAATGTGAGATGTTTCACCTTATTTTAAGTGCACTTACATCAGGATCAAGCTCTTCAAGTTCATCCTCAAGTCTCCTGAGCTCCTCTTCACTGAGCTTCTGCAAGAGCTCATCCTCATCCACATCCCGGTACTTCTCCATCTCTTTACGGAACATGATGAATAAGAGAACAGGGAGGAAGAGGACAGAAGAAAAGAAAAAAAAGATAGGCAGGAACAGTTGAGCCCCCCAATCACAGGACCTTGGTGAGGACAAGAGAGACATATCCATTATTAGGCCTATTAGTATTCTAAATTCAAAGTTTATGATTTTCTAAAGTATTTAAGTAGCCTGGAAATTCAGACCCAAATCCGAAAGATTAAGGAAATTCGCTGAGCAAATTCAAATTGTGCTCTCACGAAAACTCTGGATTTCCAGGGTAGTTTTTAAGTGGATTATTCTAGACAAATTCAAATCATATGGGTTATGGAGAGCACAGGTGTACTTCATCCTATTAACTGAGGACACGCTATGCTAACATTGGACAACCAGAAAAAGCACAAATATTTTGTTAACTTTGGACAGTATCTGCTCTGCTTGTTAAAACTTAAACGTTTGAATGTCTCTGTGCAAAATGTTTTACTTTAGCTCGCTTTTTAAAAATGCATGCCAATTTTTATTAAAAAAATATTACATTATGATCTTAAACAATACATTAAGTAATTTATAATAATATATCTAATGAGAAGAAAACAAATCAAACTAAAGGCTGGCCTTTGCTCTTTGGACCATCTCCATTGTCCTTGGTAAATCCAATAGACAAGGACATTGACCAGCAAACTCCATTACGCTATATAATGCAAATTTATTATTAACATACTGCCTCTAGTTTAGGTTTCCCAAATCAATAAACTAGTTATTATGTACACATTTCCAGACAGTTCCTCAAACAAATTGCTTTTCCACTTCAGTTAATAAAACTACAATTAATGATGTCTGAATAGTTGGGTTGCTTCAGATACATAACTTTTGACATTAAAACAATACAAAATACATTTTAAAGCGCAAACTAAATTATTAATCAAATATAATTTTCTCCGAGCTTCATTTGTCCTGTTAATATGCGTATTTGTATGTTTCATGGCTCTATGCAAGGATGAAAACAAAGCGTTAGTGCCGGAGTCTCTATCATTCTCACTTACTTCAGACAGCGCTTATCCCACACTATATATAGCGCATGTGACAGCTGAATACTTTGACCAGATATGGTTTCTTTTCGGAGCCGCTATTTCACACAAATGTGCTGCTGCCTCAAGCAATTATTTCTCAAATCCAAGGTTCATAGAAGAACAACGCTTGACACGGCGGAGAAAGTCCAAATATTAAAACGTAATCACTGCTCGAGCCTTCTTTCAAAAAGTCCAGTAGTCGGTGCGGTGGCGATCAAAGAGTTTCCACAAACCCGTAGTGCAGATATTCGCCCCGCCCACCGCGTAGACCTGCCAATCACTGACGCCATTCATACAGCCCACCAATCAAGTTGCAGAGACAAATGAGTCACCCAAGTGTATCGGGTTGTTGTCTTTTCGTTTAATGGTTCGAACCAAATGTTAACTTAGAAATTAAACAAACATGAGAACCTAAGTACAAATGTTCTTTTACAATTAGGCCATTTTCCTTTCAGAAAACACATAATAAGACCACAGCAAACAAATCAAAGTGCAAAATCAAGAGTATAAACAATACAAACCAGTGGTGTCTCACACAAAACCAACATAAATAAATCAAAATACTCCAAGACAAATGGCCCTATGGTAAAGACACAGTAAAGGGAAGCGGTTCAGGTAAGAACAAGTTAATTTGGCAATGGTATAATATTATTATTTATCACAACAGCAAAAACAGGAAGAAAGAAATCCCTTTCCCATGGCACTCGGAACGATAACTAAAACTATTCGTGAACGTGTAAATAAAATGAGCTGACCAAACATACATAGAGTCAATGCTTTTGAATTCTAGATCCAGATTTCTTCAGGCTCAAGTTCTCAGCATGGTTCTGGGAAAGGGTAGTTGTAACAGTCTCAAGCAGCACTGCTGATCTCATCTAAAAACTCCACCATAATGTTGTGGATCCAGATGTCATTGTCCTCTTGTGTGGTGTCCACCAGGTAGACAGAGATTTTGCGCTCCCAGGGCCACTCCCCCTCCTCAACTGACTCGATCTGGGCCACCAACGGCTTTTTCTCAACATGGTTCCGGAACACCATAGAAGCTTCCTCACACCAGACCCCTTGCTTGACACCTGAAAACAAGTATTTTGCATGTAAATCAGAAGCTTTAACAGACATGCATTAGTTTTAAGGTAACTTGCAATAGGGCTGGGTGATGCATCAAATATTTACAATATATTTTCTATTTTGTTAATAGGATAAAACATCAAGACTGACAACATCAGTATTGTGATGATTTTAACATTTTTATTTCGTTGTTAACTTTCCTAAAGAATATGCAACCAGCCTTTTGTCACGACTGGTTTAAGATAAATATACTTTATGAACTGATTCAAATCAGAGATGTTATTAATCACAGATTCCACACTTCATTTGTGCATTAATTCAAATCCGTTCACAGAAGTTCCTGTGTGGAATCTCACATGCTTTAAAAAAAGTATTTGTAAAAAAAAAAGAAAAAAGTGCAGCTAAATATTACTATTTATTATACTAGTGCATTTATAAATATAGCAAAATATTCTTTCTTTTTGATATTCTTCCTTTTTTTAAAAAGGCTTGTTTTTTTTGTTTTTTTTACCATCCAACATTTCAGTGTTTGGCTGACATATATGGCTCCTCTGAAATATACATAACTTTTTAAGCCATTTCAGAGCAAATACAATGTGTTTATTAAATATTAGTAAAAGTCTGAAAAATAATAAAGATATAATTTTGTTTAGCTTCTCTCTTACCAGCCAGCTGAGCAAAAATGCCCTGGAATGGCAGCTGCCTGAACTCATCGATGAGTGGTTGGAGCTGGGAATAGTTGATCAACTCGTATTTCCCATAATCCAGTTCATACACAGAGACTAAGCCATTGGTCAGGACGCTCTTTACCAAAACACGATGCCAACTATAGAGTGAAAGAAAGAAAAAGACAGTAAACTATTTAGTTGTGTTATTTAGGTGAGGAATTACAATCAGAGGTGCCATTCAGATCTTACTTGTTGTCGATCTTGGCAGCGTAGACATTATTTTTCTGGATGTTGATTTGGGTTACTTCCTGTTTGTTGTAGAACAGGATCATCTCTCCCATCAGCACCACTAGCTTGTACAGTTCCTGCCACGGCTGCAGCACAAAGTGCCCAGGGTGACATGCAACCGACACAAACACATCCATATTTTGCCCGACCAGTGGTAAGTCCATCTGAGGGGGCAATGTGAGGGCCTTCGACTGTGTGGGAGATGTATAGGGGCTGTCCCCTGCCTCGGGCACGATAGGTTCGGAAACCCTGGGGATCTTGCTGAAGTAGGCATCACGTTGCCAGAATGGACATGAGGCTAGCTGGTGGTTAATGCTGCTCTTAAGGTCATGAGCTCCATTTCCACTGAAGAGGTAGACGTGCACAGTCCTGGTCTCATCAAGCTTGACTATCTAAACACACAACAAACATGCCAATAAATGGACATTGCAATATTTAGTTTTTCTGCAACATGAAAATACAGTAACTTTCTCTAAATGACCTGAATAACTCTACTTGGAAACAATTATTTACAGTTTGTTCACTTCAAACCAGAGCTTTTATTTTGGCGGAAATTTTGCAATGTGATAATTGCACTAATGCGATTTAAGTATATTGTGCATCGCTAATCAATCATTTAAAAAAATCAGTAAACAATAAATGAATGTGCAAGACCTTCATGCAACTGGGGACTTTGTTGTGGACTGTCTCTCTCAACCACAGAACGGCTTCAGGAGGCCAAACACCCCCATCTGCATTCAGGTCCTCCAGGAGGCACTTTATAGCCTACAGGGGCAGAAATATATAACAATTACTTTCATTCATAAAGCAGACTAATGCACTTACAGCACTTCCTACGTGCTAAATGAGTTATTTTATTATTCAAAAACTCACAGCTTGACTCATGACTTAAATGAGGCAAAGGCCTGCACAGTTGTACTAAGTGATGAGCATGAATGAAAATGAGTGAGGGGAAAAAATAACTGAGATGTGAGTACCTGAGGTGGTATGGTGATGAGCTCTCTGAGGTAGATTGGTGGGATCTCCCTGAGCTCGCTAACCTCCAGAGAAGCAGGAAGTCCTAGATCCAAAAACTGGATGTCCAACACTTGACTGCCATGAAGGGTAACGATCTACACACAGATGAAACACACATTCATATAACCAAATAAACTAATTTAATTTTCACTAGGGCTGCACAATACTGGAAAAAAAAACGGACATTGCGATATTTAGTTTTTCTGAAACATATTGCGATATAAAAACACAGGAATTTTTACTCAATGACTTGAATAGCTCTATTTGGAAAGAGAGAGAGTGATTTTGTAGGAGAGTACATCTGCATATAAAATATAAATGCTGAATATTTACATCTATTTCTTCATTTTCAAACGTTAAACCTATGAGTTCATAAAGTTTCTCCTTTGCCGTCAACAGGTTCACAAAAGCTTCACATTACAAATCTAGTGAAATTAGTGCCACGCGTGCACTCAAATGCACGCTATAAGCAAACCAAACTAAACTCTCAGAAAATACAAAGATGAGGTTTGTGTGGAGCAGCATTTACTGCCAATTTATGTGCGAGTAGAGTTGTTCTGGCATTGTTTGATTTTATCGATTCCTATTTTGTTTATCAATTCAGATTCTTTTAGATTCCAGTAAAGTGAAAAACAATTTAGTCAAACATTTAGATCTAACATATTTATTATGTCTTTGGGCAAAACGTTTTGTTGCAGATGATTTCCATGAACAAAAATCAGAAGCATACAAAAAAAAAACAGCAGCCTAAAGAACACTAACAATTTCCTGTGGTTTTAACAAAAATACCACAGCAAAAACTACTGGACTAAATAATGAAAATGTTAAACATTCAAGACAAGTGAAAAGTAATACTATAAGAACAAAAACAAATGAACCCTCTGGGGACCAAGGTGTTTTTGGGGTCCTTGAGATGTTTTGACATGCACTGACATTTGTGGTTTTTTCAGTTGCTTATAAACATATTAATGGCACAGGTGAAATTACACTCTATTTAGCACAAACAGGGCTACCATAATATGTGAGCAACATGTATGTACATTTGAGAGAATATTGTTTATGCATGGTTATTGAAAAAACTAAAAATTAAAGTTTCTGAAATAAAGCCACAAAACATACTAAATATGTGTCCACAAGACGTTTGACTAATGGAAGTTTTGGCCTAGAGTTTTTGCTTCAAAATGATCTGAAAATCATCCTGTCTAATCATTCACATAACAATAGATTCTTTTAAATTGTGAAAAACATTTTTTGTTAGCCAAGGCAATATGCGAATGGGCGTGAACGGCCCAACCCCATTGTGAATAATTAGGTGGTTCTCGCCTGAGAAGACAAAAGACCTGCATAATGAGCCTTTCATTCAGGTGTCACACAAGAAAGAATGCAAGGACAATACATACACACACACACACACACACACACACACACACACACACACACACACACACACACACACACACACACACACACACACACACACACATACATATATATATATATATAAATAATCAAAATATAAATGAAAGTCAAAAGCACATTTTTAGTCATACCTGGAAACAAATCCTGTTCAAATAGGTTATATGGGCCATTCTACAGAATTGGTTTAAAGTTAGAGTTGGAAACATCTTGAAAAGAAAATCTTTTTCCATAAATGTCTTAGTAGGCCAATACATTTTATCATACATATTTCAAAGTTAAGGATTCATTATTTTGATATAGCTTGCATTGGAACAAACACTATAACATCTTAGTTGATTAGTTTATTGACAAAACATACTATATATTTAACATATGAGCAGAAACTGCTAACAAAAGCTTATTTGATGTCTATTTTAGAGTTAAAACTTAATAATCTATACAAAACTAGTCACACACACACATACATAGAAACATGATTCAAATTTAAACAGCAGGCTATTTTTGCGTTTACAGACACTAACGTTATTATATATCGCGATTAGAACAAACCATAAGAATAAAAACACTTACAGCCCAGCTCGCTCCTCGAAGTGAAAATAAACCAGCACTTGTTCTAAGGTAGATAAATGTCCCAGGATTATTCCTCACAGCCGTACATTAATTAAGCCGTACAGTACATTAATCTGACTAAATATAGTGTGTTTACCGAGTTTATGTGGGCGTTTACACGCCTCAATGTGTTGCTTCAGATCATTAGCG